CCACGCTATTCTGCGGCGCGGTAAGTGGCAGACGAGTTTTCGTTTTCTTCTGTGGTTTTTCACGTGTGGACATGTGAGCTGCACGCTGGGACATGGGACTGGACTGCAGCGAAACGACGTTTGAGGGGCGTATGCAAACGACATTAGTGCCGTTACAACACGTATGTTACCATCAAGTCTACTATCAAGTCTAGTGTTTAAGGTGATCGTCCACTTTTAGTAGGGCTCGGCGGAAGAAACATGCTTGAATCCTTCGGGAAGCATTACAGGGGCAAGAGCACTGGGGCACTTCGCTTACAGACGATACGCTTACTGCCAGTCAGACTTGTGCTGACTGGCTTGAGAACTACTCTTGGGGTTCACTGACAAGTCTGAGCTTGGCGCTGTTATACTCACCGCAGATTCGACACTGGCCGTGTAGGATATGAACCTACTATGTACGGAGTATGCGGGCTCTTCACCGTAGCACTCTAGTGGTGCTCCATCATTGGCCATAGACGTTTCTCTGAGGCAATCGTGGGACGGACTCCCTTGAATGCCTTTACGTTGAGGGTCACTGATCGTCACTGTACCTTGAGCTCCCCCGGCTCCATATGGCATCATGTCGGCCTTTCCCACGGATAATTATCATGGAATGTGAGGTTGTGTCAACCAAGTTGCGTGGGGCCTTGATCGGCAGTCGGACCCCACACCGACGTCGATGCTACCTTGCACCGCAAACTATGCTTTAACGGGCATTCAGGATCAGCAGTGAGAAAGGAGTTGCGATGGTAGGGAGATGAATTGGGCAGCCATCTGGGACGTGGTTCCTGTGAAGGCTCGGCGATAGGCAAGATCTTTCGAGCAATCTGGGAGTGGCAGGTGTCACAATCAACATTATACAGCAATCCTCCCGAAGAAAGCCCTCCTCTGAATTACATCTAGAAATAGAGCGCTGTGAGCGGATACATACGGGACAGGATGAATGACGGTGCTGAATGACTTATTGACAACCCAAAAGCCCATGATACATGATATCTGATGTGCAATTGTGGGCTGCCACCCAGGTATTTACAGCCTTGAAAAAGTTTTCCGAAATGTACATCAGATCTTACACGAAGACGAACAGAAATTCCGCGCTCTTTCAACAATAAGGCGGGGAACTTCAATATTCTGCCTGCATTGCTTAGTGAAGGGTGCCCTGTTCGGTAAAGTGAGACAAGCGTAACCTGCAGAGAATGACAGGACCTTCGACTCCAGTGCACAAGAATTAGTGAGTAGCTAGCAGATGTCGTGCTCTGGTCCGTGCTTCCGAGAATGACAAAATTGGCTACAGTCAAGCTAAAGCGGATAGTAGGACATAATCTGAGGCAACACACAAGCTCCAAAAGGAAATGTGTCAAAGTGAGACAAACGGCTTCCCTCGTGACGAATTGGGACGGCCTTGGCGCGTGGTTGCACCAACAGTTGGACGAAGCATCAAAGTAAGCCCCTAGGGATCCGCGGAGCATGTACATGCCTAGACAGGCACCACATTGCTGTAATCAGAGAGGACAATGACATTTGCAGGAGTAATAGACTTCGGTAGCCGCTTGTCAGGCCTGCCAAAGCCCACGTTCTCGGCTAGCCAGGAAGCGCCGGAGCCTATCTCTAATTTAGAGAGTTTAAATCTGCAAAGGTAAAATCTGGTCGAAAGCCAAGATGCTAAGCGACGCATGACAACCAGACCGGTCATGCAGAGTCGTCCCGAGCGCTGCCGGATGGGTCGATCCAATACGAAAGGAAGTTGGCCCAAGATTAATTGTCGCTCAAGCGTTTAACAGTTTCCCGCATGATGAACACAGCCGCTTAGTCGAGAGAGCCCAGACGTTGGCGTGGTGCAGTGCCACTGACGGCGGCCGTCAGTTTAGTGACATAGGTAATAATTTACTTAATTTAGTGGAGACCTGGGCTTCAAGGACAGATCTGTTGTCGTTCAATGTACTCCTTGGACCAAGCTGCCCTGTCCGCTGACGCCTAGGTTTTGAAGGACAAAGGTCCGGTTGGCGATGATGGCTGTGCAGCGTGGCACGCATGGGAGAACAGAGCCTTTGGATTACCGGCTGTAGTGACCGGCTTCCGCTAGCAAAGAAACCCCAGTGTCGTGCAGATTGGATCTCACGGACCGATGACCAAAGACGGATGGTGATCGACGAGGCTCTGTAGGTGCTTGAGGAAGGGGAATGGAACTTTCCGTGGCCAAGAAATACATACGTAGGTCTTCATATCCCACGGCACGTATTGGCCAGGGCACAGTAAACACTTGATCAGGGTGGCACGCAATCATCGATGGTAGGGCCACAGTCGTAATGGGAAGTGGGGCAGGGGGCCAGGGGGCCAAGGGTGAGGGAGCAGGAATTTGGAAAATGCGGTTACGATAGCGTTTACTGGGCAGTTCCGTATTGCTTGGCTTTTGCAAGGGCTTATGGGCCTCTAGTGGACCGATTTCAGTGGGGGTGTGGTGGCAGCTGGGTCCACTAGTAGCGCAACCCTTGCTGTCGCTACATTGAAAATAAGCTTGATGGCCCAAGAAGTTTATATCCATCCATATGATCCCTGGAGGTCCATGGGGCTGCCGCTCCCTCACATCGACCACAATTTATCGTTTCGAGAACCCGCCCATGGTGCATTTCCATATGATCGATAGATTGGATTTCATGTAGAAAAGAAGGGTATCCACTAGTTGCATGCGCCCCTTCTAAGCTTCCATCCGTCGAAAGGCACAGATTGTTGGCCATCAGGCTGCTCTTATTACAGTGTATTCGAACATCTCCCTTAAGCAGGCAGTTTCCTGAAGACTCGCAGTCTCCCAGGCATCATCGATCAGCATTCCCAAGTGACCCCCCAGGAAACCAAGACGCCACCCAGCACGAATATTCGAGGTCCCAGAACGACTGTATCGGCATCGGCCAGGGGGAAAAGCACGTCTTTGCGACAAGACAACCCCCGAGTCGGGTCTAGCTCACAGCAATCAGAGCGGCGACACCCTCAGTGTGGCTTCGCAGTGACCAAAAATCTCACGTGGCCGCTGAGTATAACTTATTTCCCTCAGAAAGAACAGGCTGGATCTACGCCATCGTGGGAGGTGCCGTCACCATCACAGACAGCATCTCAGCCCATCTACTAGCTCAGAGCTTCAATTGCATTCCCTCCTGCAAACGTGGGGGACTAAAACCCGCAACAAGAGCTGTATTAATGCTCATGGCACAGTCAGCCTCAGCTGCCGCTCGAGAATCAAGCTCTCACCACGCCAGATAAAGTTCCCGCTCAAGCCGTCGATTCCGAGTCAGCAAGCCAGCAATAACTTACCCGCCTGCACCAACCAAAACCATAGCGCTGTTTCTGCTTCCCTATCAGAGGTGGAAAAGACCAACCACTCCATCGCTCATATTTCGTCCAGCGTCTGACTGTGGTCCTGGTCCCCTCCACTACCTTAACGTTCTCATAACCCCTGCACATCCTCCGCCAGCGACGTGCGCGACGTGCAGCCAACATACGGTCACTCCCACATTCCGGGGTCGATCAGCCAGATAGCAGATTACCGATACATACTGTATCTTCTCTACGCTCGGCCAGCAGCAGTATTTTTTCTCTCAACTTACGAAAGTCCAGAAGTCTTTCGCCAGCCTCAGACCCCGTTCATCGTCTTCAAAACTCAACGACCGAGCCTGATCTATAGACCTGGCGAAACGGGTTCTCCGTCCCTCTGTCAGAACATTGGCCAGCGGTTAACTGGCATCTTCGGCCATCTTAACGCGCGTACGCCCGGCAGCTCAAAGCGAGCACGAATAGGTATGTGACTCCGAACTACTCGGATTTTCTTCCGAACTACTCGGATTTTCTTCCATGGCAGCGGTTTCCAGCCCCAGCAAAGCTCTATTTCATTTTTGTCCCCAGCCGATGGCTATTTATCAGCCTTACTTGCATGATCTGCCCGGGGGAGAAGAGCAGCGCCGTCAAGCGACGAGCATGTTCGCCTCGAGATCTACTACCGTGAGCATGTTTGATCCGCCGGCTTCACGCATCGAAGGTGCGGTACTCGATATAGTGAAGCCTGGCTGCATCCCGACTTGCTGGACCAGCCATGGGGAATTAGAGGGGGAAAAACACATTACAGGTGCCATCCAACGCTCGCGGGAGATGCCACTGGAGCCGGGCCCTCAAGTGAGAGTCGTCGCAATTGGCTAGTCCCACGAGGGAATCCCCAGCCCATGGCCTTGCATACGTACACATGTGTTTACGTAGTTCACCTGGCGGCCCTGCGCGTAGTGTATCAGGTTATATATGGCATCAGGACCTACTCCATTCGAGGCGGACTCGCCCTTCTTCACACCCTGCACGTCTCGCAAGCCTGCCACAGCTAAAACCTGCCCCAAGAAGCGGCCCCACGCAAATTGACGTGCAACCCCCAGGCGCACATCGCCCAGGGTGACGGGAGTCAAGCACGACGCTCCTGCTGCCACTGGCCCGCCCGGCGCAGGCAGGGCAAATCGTTTCAAATCGTTCGACTCAGTGGGCTAACGTGCAAACGGTCCAGGCAATCTTAGCAGCGGCGCGACGTCTCAGTAGCCATTCTCTGGCGTCTGGATCGCCTCGACGGTACTGCCACAACCTTTGCGTGGCCAAGAGGGCCCAGGATCCGCTAGCCTGCTAGACCTAGTCAGCGGGTGGGGTGCGACTTGCCGCGCAAGCTGCGTCGGTTTTTTTTTCCCTGCTCGCCTACCCGATTGGGGATTAAGCAGTGGTTGACCTGACCCTCTCTTGGATGATCCACATTATCGCTACGAAGCTCCCATGTGGATCTGACGCCGTGGAAGACTTGGGACCCAGCGAAGGAACCTTGGCTCAAAACGGCAAGGCAACACACCTCGACTTATAATAATAGTTTAACCTTCGTACCTCCAAGAGACCTGTCATCCTTTCTCCTCCCACTCCCACCACTAACACCCCCCCAACCTTGATACCACCACCGCACCCAAGCCATGGAGACCTACCGTGGCTACGTGCGGACTCCCGCAGACGCCATCAAGCTGTTCGAGGCTTGCAGATTGGGTCTGCTCCCCAGAGTGCAGCGGCGACTGTCGGAGAAGGAGCGCCAGTCGATCAGATCAGGATCTGTCTTCGTGTGGGACGAGCGCGAGGCTGGCATGCGCCGGTGGACCGACGGGAAATCTTGGAGCGCCAGCAGAGTGTCGGGCAGTTTCCTAACATACCGAGAGATGGAGGGCAAACGAGGCAGCGGATTTGGCAACTCGAGACGCAGCAATGGCCGGACCCCAGACAGTGGTCGTCTTAGCGATGAGGACCCCGATGGCGAACCCGAGGGCTACAGGTACAAGGCAGACGGCCTGATGAAGCAGTCTTTCAGCATCACGACGTCGCAAGGGCAGCACCTACACCTGATCTCGTACTACTCGAGGCCGCATCCTGGAGCCCCAGACTTGCCGCAGCCCAGCTCCGACCCTCAGCTCCGTCACATCGTGCCCGCCAAGGGCATGTACCCAGAGTCAAGTCTTCATGAGTCTACGCCGCCCGCGCTTACACGGACGCCTATGCAGCCGTACAACGCGCAGCCTCCTGGACCACCGCCGCCGGAGCCGTCGCCTTACGGCTACACCTGGGGCCCGCCGAATCCGGCTTGGATGGGGGCTTGGCCGCCTTCGCCGAACGGTACGCCCCCGTGGATTGCGGCGAGAATGTCTCCAGACACGAAATCGCAGGGCCCGCCACGTCTGCAGCCGCAGCCTCATCTTCCCAGCCCACACGCACAAGGACCGCCGCCTCAACTTCCACCGCCTAGCACTCTCGCGCCGATCGGACATGCCGTCTATGGTCGTCCGCCTCCTTACGAACACGAGCGCCTGCCCGCTCCAGTTATCACTACGTCGTACCCTCAGATCCAGACGATACCGGCTACTTCTTCGCCAAGACTTCAACAGCTCCAGCAGGCTGCTGCTCACGCAGTCATGATCGACCCGCGCCTTGCCACTACAAGTGCTCGGAACCCTCAAGGTCCACTCCCAGCCATGCCAGCCGCAGCACCGCGTCTGACGCCTCCGCGAACCCTGAGCGTGTCTCCTCCCAGGACCGCAGGCTCGGAAAACATCAACCCTTCGAGCAAGGCCAGTCTGTCGGCTCTGTTGCACCCCACCCCAGCCAACTCGGAGCCCAACAGCGCGAATCCGGCCAGCATAAACAGCGCCAACAGCTCCCCGAGAGCCATGACAGCCGGCCCAGCCGACTCATACAACAACAATGAAGATGTCAAGGCGATTCGGTCTTTAGACAGAAAGTTCTGTATTTGAACAGGCGGAAGGTGAGGATGATTAACAGCATGGTCTGCCTCATTCTCCACCAAGGCCAGCAACTAATAGTTGCTGGTCTCACCCGCTGCCGGGGTCATATGGCCAGCAGCTCGGTGACAAGCATTTTACGGCGTTACGTGGTTACAAAAACATGAGTTGGGAGCATTCACTCCTGGCTGATAAACGGTTGGGGGATCACTTTCACTTGCTATTTCTTAAGAGCGCGCATTTACGAATGATGGTCACCATGTCGACCTCAGGGCGGAGTTTACAGGGTGCTTGCAGAATGGTTCGCTGAGCTTTAATGGGGAACAACTATATTGTTCATGTAAATACTTGAGAGACCGCACATAATATGTGGCATGTGCCTAAGACAGAGCAATCAAGAGAGCAACGACATCGCTTGCAACGCCTGCAACTTCCTATTTCATCGGTGACACGAATGTGCTAGAAGACTGCGATACCTCGGTGCAAAACCCAGCAGCCACTAAGCTGCCTCAGGGTAAACGATCCTACACGTTCTTGGCGCACCCCGGCAAAGGTTGCCCATTGTCGACACAACACTCTCTGGCAAATGTCCTCGGCGGGAATTCCGTAGCAAGTGGGCTTGGCAAAGTCCCAGGGACTTGGAACCGCACCTTGGGCAAACAACCACATACCTCGCATCTACCTGTCAGGTCGGTAGTTCCAGCCAAGCCACATTCGTCCGCTACAGTTCGCTTCATCTTCTTAATTACGACGCACCGCGAGTCACAAATCAAACGGCTCGGCTGGACCCTTGACTAGTGGGCATGGCAAACCCCTACTGATGGATTCCGTGGCGCGCACCAGTACACAGTAACTTTGTCCAGGATCTCCTATCCTGTCTGCTATGGAAAACGCACAGATACTGTACCATAGTAGACGGCTGTTGAATGAGTTCTCGACCCATGAACCCCAGAGATAGCAACAGGCCGACCCGCCCACAGGCGACGCAACTCAAACTCTGATCTGGGGCCGCGTTGCGCGTCGATCGTTTGCCGGAATAAGCAGTGTAGCCGCCTTGTTTCGGACTTACTTTTGACAGGCTGGCAAGCATCAAGACGTCTTATCTACAGTAGACTACTACAGATCACGCAACTCGTAGGAGCTGACACCTTACGCATCCATCCATTCCTTAGTCAGCGGACTAGTGAACAGTAACCAGGGAACCCGCCAAGGGGGGTTGGTGATGAGAACGCCGACTCCGGCCCATGACAAGTTTCGGGCACACTCGACACCCCCATTTGGAGTACCGTGGTAGCAGATACTACTTGCATCTCGCCGAACATTGGTTAACCTGAGCGAGCACATGGGCTGCGTAATCCCTCATGCCCTATGGATAGGAGGCTTAGACGTGGGGCCCAGTAAATACACGCGTATGGGCCCACCCGTCTCGGGTCTGGGCCGGGGGCCATTGCTAGGCCATACGGCTTTATTACTCACGCCCGCGCCGTTTCTCGAACTATTTCAGCGCCCAGCTAAGTTAGCAGATGGAGGGAACCGTGACAGCCGCAGTGTGCGGAATAATGGGAAAGGCCAAGACTTTGTTGATGATTGTTGATCTGTGTTCTGACCGGGCAGCCAACAGCTTGTTTCATCTGTTCTTGGGAGAAATCGTGTTCAATCAGCCAACAGATCCCGTCCGATCTGCCGTACCCCGGCTAACTTAACATGCTCGTCGATGATTTTCCCTACCCCTCGGCCTCAACCGACGGGGATAGAATGTGGAACCCAATGCCTGTTCATGCCCAGGTGGTGTGCCATTTCGTTTCAGGCGCTACTTTTGATGCTCAAAGCTTGGCATTCGCCTTGGCGAGTCGAGGTTAATGTTAGGAATTAAAGATGTGGATCTTCTGTGGGTCGAATACGACGCGCTGGATCCTCGTCTCCTCATCGTCTTTTTTGCCTTCTTCGCTCTTCTCGATTTTTTTCTCTCCCGCACCCGTGCCGTACGCAACGACGTAATCAAGCTAGCGCCCATGTGGAGCCAAGCGCTACGTTTGCGGCCACGCACCTCAATTATGCTTGTGGAGGATAGGGTTATGTAGTGCCCGCCGCGGTGGAGAGGACTCGGAGATGAGAGACAGACTACCATAGCAAACTTAGGCGGCCGCGACACAGATCTGCCAGTCGCTGTCCCGGACACTTGGGCCCCCCTAGTGTACGTCCGGACCAACGCCGGGGCGCATCTACGGTCTTCACAGCCACAATGACTAGAATTGCGATGTTCAGGAGGTCATCACCGCCATAAGAAATGACTGCCCTCCGCACGCAACGAGTCCTTATGACGAGGTGCTACCCGGATGTAACAGCTACGGACAGCGTTGCAAGTCAGGGCTCCACAGACTGGGGTCGCGTCTCTGGCCCCTGGAACCGTTTGCTGTACTCTCGCCGATCATCGAAAATAGACTTAAACCTGCGACATGACGTTCGACATGGAGCGCCTCGCCTCCCTGCGGTGAAGCTCGACGATCGTCGTGCCATCATGGGACGGGGTTTCAGATGCTTGCTTGCCAATGTCCAGCAGACGCGGGCCAAGCTTTTCGGGTTGACGGGGTTGCGGACGACGAAACACCGGGCCCATCCGTGTGTGGTTGCTCGCTCCGACCTTCACTGCCGGCCCTCGGGGTGTGCCAAGAGGCCGTAAAACCGAGTGGTCGCTGCTCGCGTTCATGGTCGTACTGGGCAAAGAGCACCTGCGTAAGCTCCGAATGGGTTCAAGGCCCCTGTGCCATGTTTGGCATCGCCTTATTGGGTGGTCCATATGTGCGAGGCAGGCAGAGGCTTATATTCGACCAGCGCACAGTAGTATGTGCCTGTAACCCAAGCTGCATTGACCCCATGACTACAGTTTGCTCAATATTGGGTGTCTCGAGTCACGTATCTGGTACCAGGGTGTAGTGTGCAGACCTGTGTGATGCCAGCCAACTGAACGGTTATGGCGACCTGTACCTGAATTGCCTTTCTGCCCTCTGGACGAGTCATAATGGAGAGTGGCGAGTTACTCTGAGCCGGTAATAACTCCTTGAGGAGCAATTCCATTTCGACTTGAAAGAACAAGTGAAACTATCGTCCGCGTCTACCCTACCTCCTTTTCATGACTGAGTCTTAAAAGCTCGACATGCGATCTATATCGGTCACTTCATGCTGCAGGTCATCGGGTAGTGCATATTTTGCCCGTCAATATTGTCCGAGGCTTCCGAGGGATCCCTGTAGACAGATCAACTGCACCATTTCAACACGTTGCCAAACTTTATAACTGAGAACCGCGGGATCATGCCCGGTACGCATGAACGCACGAATCCGCTTGCCACCTGTATGCATCCATGACTCTCGCCGTATCTGTTCGGCCGACAGTGGGGGGAAACCCCCGGCAGTTCTGCATGTAGAGAGGTCGGCGTGATAGAGGCTCTGAATCTGCTTGTATGGAGCCTCTAGCTTTGATAACTGCCCCTTTCTATGAGCCGTTGTTTTTATTATCGAGGCTTCTCTGCCAAAGTGAGAGAATGTGTGCCCACATGATCAAACAGAAAGTATACTCTTCACGATGCCCGATATCACATCGCTTATTGTGACTTTGAGGGCCTGTTATCTCAAGTTAAGGAGTATTTCAAGAGCCTTAAAACCGCATGCTGCACCAACTTGGTAGATATGATGTATCCCCTTTATTCACAGCTATGTTCGACTCACTAGGCATAGCACAGCATCATTATAAGAGGGGAATATTTGTTAATCTATTAACGTGGGAGAGAAAGGAAACCAAAAGCAAAAGTGATAAGAAAGAAAGAAAGAGATGTCTTACTAATTTTCTATCCTTCGGGATGGTTGAATGTTCTATGTTCATTCGTACTTTATTTCAAATGAGACATGTGCTCTTGTATTATTCAGGGTAAAGATAGTTTAAATAATGAAATCGACTTGATATTAAAAATATAAAGTAATTGGCCTTTAAAATTAGTTTCTTGTGTAAAGGTAATGAAACGCTATCAAAATAATTCATCGTGTCTATGTAACTGTTCTATAGATCCCAAGTGGTATGAAAGTTAACATTTTTTTCGTTGCGGAACTCGTAGACTCTATCCGTGCGTCCCTGTCTGTTCCCGGTACGATACTGCTCGAACTGAACCGTGTTGCTATGAATGTATTCCCCAGGTATCCCACAGCTTCATCAGAACATCACCTGCCAAGTACCTAGGTAGAGATAACTTCAACTATGACTCCTATGGATAGTATGGTAACGCCACTACGCTCATGGGGCGAAAGCAGAGCCCGGTGACCCCATCAGCTTTGCTTTTATGATGGACATATCTACGTTTACCACAAGTACATTCGATGATGAGAGAACATGTTAACGACTCTTTACGTCAAATAATCAAATCTGCGGTATTCAATCAAACTTATCAATACCTCCAGATTGAGATACAGTGAATAAGAGACATAATATAGAGGAAACATTTTTAGAAGTTTCCCCTGTGCTGGGTTCTGCGGATTATGTGAACTGCTTTCAAAAGCTTTCCCAATATTTAAAGAGACCAGTGTTCAAAGTCATTGATATTTTCCGAACGGGAATTGCACTTGTGCCTAAGTCATGTGTTAGGTCCTCGAATTCGCATAATGTCTGCCACACACGTGGTAGAAATCATGGAACATGCTACTCTCGGCGACGAAGCGACTGCGCTTACTTCGTGCTGAAGAGGAAATTAAATCTGACAAAAACCTCACTTTCATCAGATGCAACTAATGTGGTTTGTTGCTTATGATATACCATAGGCATAGTTTAACAAATAGCGATATGTACAAGGAAAGTCCTTGAAAGCAACAGCGTTTAAGCACGAATATCTATCCCCGTGTATTTCTAATATACATAACCTTTCTAGCTGCACGAGGTAAATATACTAATCCGGATTAGAGCTGTCTAGGCCATGAACATATAAAGGACTTGCCATACTTTCTTCCTTTCAGTATAAGACTGCAACATGCCTTAAGTAATCGGCTGAGCCTACTATCTCAGTCAGCCTCAACGCCATTCGGGTCGTCCTTTTTCCATAAACAAACCTACGTACAGCACTGCAGTGGCACTGGCAGCTCCTATGTGTTGAACCCTTTTTGTCCAAACTGGCTCGTATCGCAGTTCGCACTCAAACGTGACCATCGTGAGCTGTGTTACATCTCCGGTTGGTATAGAAAGCGAGGACAAGACTTTGTCTTTGTCATTGTAGACGCAGACTATGAGGAGCCAGTGATTTAGACATCAAGTCTTCCGTACTCGCTATGAGGCCAAGTTTGTGGCCGTATGCTTGTTCACAGCCTTACTTATCGTCAAAGAGAGTGCACTTCTCAACCAACACCACAATAATATACCGTATCCCTAGTGTTCTGTGCCTTCTGGGCTTAGAGTTACTCTTACCGAGTCACGTCTCATTCAGAAAGGATGCTATATTATACAGCCAAAGTCATAGAACGGGGGCAGCCTCTCACATTTCAACCTGGAGTTGGCGAAGATGGAGGGATCTTTTTCGCTGGCCACCACGTGAATATATCCCAGGCTCAACATATACAAACGATGAGCTACGATTCCTCGAGATTCGTCAGACCGTGTCATGAACGAAGCAACGCCGGCATCTTGTGAGATGAAAGTGTTTAATCCTCATATACAGTAGCGTCGTACACAGACGGCATCAATATATCGGGCGAATACATTCACTGTTCTGAAAGAAGTATGCCTTGACACCACCTGTTTCATCTCTTGCGGATAAGGCTGATGCCTACACACGCATCCCAAGTGTCAAGTCAAGCTGAAAGCCACGAAAGCAGTCCAATATGAAACTACCCACCCTGTTCATATCAAGTTGTCAAAGCGTTATTTTAAGAGTCCATGCAGGCACGCTTCTGATTTCAATCACTGGGATCGGTTTGCCGAAGCAGTGTGCCGAGGGTTTGGCACAGATCCAGTGGCAGTTCGGCAAGTAGCCCCGTTATCAACATGTGCCGCACGTAGAAGCGCTGCCGCCCAAAATCATCTAACCGAACTGAAGATGACACACCTGCAGTCGTTCTTGGGGTGCTTCAAGCGGCCGATAGGTCTGATTACCTGCCGACTTAAGCACCACGCTCGCTCGTTGCTTCGATGCTCAGCCAATGGCCAATGCGAATTCGATGAAAGAGACTGGTTTGCACCGCCGTCGTGGAATAAATGCATGTTTGGATGAAACGCGCTGCGGATTTTGAGGCTTACCTCCTCGGGCCGTCTGGCACGGACCAAGCCTGAGGCCCCTTATGCTAGGCGATCACCGACCCTCATGAGCGAATAGAACACAAAGCTGCTACCGCTCTATCCGAGGCGCGACACATTTCGTCGTCGGTAGCGATGAGGAAAGCCCATTGCGAAAAGATGGCCAGCAGGGTTCGATGGACTTGCAATGCAATATAGTACTGCGCGCCCAGAGGTGTAGAAGGGCGGGGTGTCCAAAGCGACAGTTCATTGTAGCAATTGACCAAGTCACGATAGGCCTTCCCGCCCTCAGTAGGCTCGCGTATGGAGCAACATATGAACAGTGACTTTGGCCGAACCCGGATCCCTTCCCGTTGCTGAGAGAAGTAGGTTGCATGAGCATCAGTGAGGGCGCGGCCCTGGGGTGGATGAAACTGAGTGGCGGGCGGCCCGAGGCCTTCGGGACGCGATCCTATGAATTCAATGATTGCCCTGCAACTCCATATTGCCCGGTAAATGACGAAAGATGTCAACCGGGGCAAAGGATGTCTGCCCGTTCATCTCTCCAGCCTTGAGGCAATTTACGTATCGGGTGTGGGAGGCTCTATGAAGTGTGCAACCGGAATCTGCATCCCCGCCGGAAGGTCGCCTGGAAATCAAGTTCAGTGACGGTCGCTGTAATCGATCTATGGTAGCAATGCATCGCGAAATAGTACGCAGGTCCAAGAGGTGAGAGTATGACTCCCATGCTCTCGTTGCAAAAATATCTCAAGTATAGTATATCGCACATGTTGAAGCAGTTCTCCGAGGCACCTGGAAGTAGATGGTGTCAGGTCTTGCTCAGTGGCGGCCCGACGAGCTCCGCACACCGTGGCACTCGCCATCTGCGCAATTGAGTCGTAGTTGCCAGCGAATAACTTGGATAACTCCCAAAACACCATGCCGGCATCCCATAGCCCACTCGAGCTATTCCTATCGTGTTTTCTTTATCATAGGGTGATGCTGTGGCGGCAGACGATGCCGTAGCCAGAGTGTTGAAGACGCGACAGTGGCCAAAACACGTCGCGTCTGGATCCCGGGTCAACCAGAGATTGCGATAGTGGAATGCAAATAGACACAGTAAATTAGATAAATTCATAATGAGATCCTGAGTGTCTCGATGAGGATTCGATAATGAGAGGGACGGCCCTGCAAACAGGTGTTTTCGGGTTGTCAAGGAAGGGGGGAAGGAGGTCGACCACGATGTGTGGATAGCTTCATGTTGGGATGCAGATTGTGATGGGGTGGAGGAACAATGAAATGATCCACCGGCATGGTTTCGGACAAGGACTAGTGACGTGGCGAAACGGAAATGCACGCGAATCACTTGAGCAAGGGATTGAACTGGTTTGATCCATAATCAGGGCGGGTGGGAGGCGACCACGTTGAATGCGACGGGCGGTGTCGAAAGAGTGCTGAAGCTCGAAATGGAGCAATATCACGAACATGTGGCCCAAAATGGCACTTGATATGGGTATCAGACTAAGACGAGGCACGGGATCAGCCTGCCCCTCAATTGACCGGCCTAGACACACTATCTCGCCCAGCAAATGACTCGGTCCAATCGTAAGACAATTGGGAGGGGCGGGAGCAGGAGACGGAAAGACGAGAGAACGAAGGGACGGGAGTCGAGGTGATCCGGGGGGGATGATGCGGTGTTGGGTGAGAGCGCGCGCACTTGAGCTCGAGTGAGGTGGGCGCAGATGGAGGTGAGAGTATGCCAACTCAAAATCATGCACATCCGCATCCAGCTTCAACAATAACCACCCCGGCCAAGACTCAGAGCCAGAGCTGTAAGTGAGCTCCGGCCAATCAAAAAATTCGACGCCGACCCACCCCGCCGCCGGGGGTGTTTTATTTTCGACCATTCGTGAGAGCTGCCGGATCACAGAATCAGTAGTCTGACAGGCCCCCGGGCGCTGTGTGACGGGCGGGCGAGGCTGTGCCCGGGGCAGCGCTAGGCCGCTACGGGGCAAAGCGTGGCGCTGGAAGGGCATCTGAGCAATCAGGTGCTGCGGTTCTGGGTGGTTTTAGCGATTTTTTCGGGGGGACCTGGGCAGGCCGGGCTGGTGAGCTGTGGTGGACTGTGGCCCGGCTGTGGAGAGGAGATCATGGATCATTGATCGCACTTGCATCTGGCACTCGCTCCAGTGGGCGTCGGGGGGGACCCCCCCCCTGGAGTCTCGAGCCACTAGGCGCACGCGCCCACCCGCTTCTGGCACCTCTGGACTGATCGAACTTACTGATTGTGCAGCACCCCCCGCTCTAGTATATAAACACTTACACCTTCTGCCCTCGCGTCCCGACCGTGGCCTCCGCCTCTGATTCCTTTTCACTTACGCAATCCAGCATCCCGTCAACACGACCAGCATAATCCGAAGTCAATCATCGCCTGCGCAATCAATCGATTGTAATATTCACCACCGTCAACCCGCACCAACAACGCGCTTTTCCCATCCAAAGCATCACCAACCGTCGCAATGGCACCCAAGAAGGAGACCACCACCACCAGCAAGCCCAAGAGCAGCCATGCTTCCTACCAGGTACGCACCGCCGCACCCGACCAGTCTCGGGCTCCCAGGGGAACGCGTTCAATGCTAATTCATCGCAGGACATGATTACTTACGGCATCACTACTGTAATTACTCCCTTTCCTACGCTTCCGGCGCATTGCGTCTCATCTGTTGGCGCCCGGGCCGCATGGTTTCACTGAGCGCTGTGCTGCCTGGGCGTCACCGCTCCGCAGTCTACTCTTTCATCCCAAGGCCTCCATGAACCCATTTACTGACGCATCTTTCAATTCTACAGCTCAAGGAGCGCAACGGTTCCAGGTTAGTGCACATTTTGCCGGTTGCACCCCGCCCTCCGTGGTCGCGCAGCCATGCCATTCCGTACTGTTCATAAAAACTAACTCGACTCACAGCCGTCAAGCCCTGAAGAAGTTCGTCAAGGCCAACAACACCATCACCGCCACTGATGCTCAGTTCGACAACCTGTTCAACAAGGCACTGAAGTCTGGTGTTGAGAAGGGTGTATTCGAGCAGCCCAAGGGTACGTCACCGTCCAACTCTGTATCTACTGCCTGGGAAGCCCAACTAACACTTGCATAGGTCCTTCTGGCCCCGTCAAGTTGTCCAAGAAGTCCAAGGAGGCCAAGCCTGCCGCTAAGGAGGGTGACAAGCCTGCTGCTAAGAAGGCCGCACCCAAGAAGGAGGGTGCTGCTAAGAAGGCTGCCCCCAAGAAGCCTGCTGCCAAGAAGGAGGCCGGCGAGAAGAAGGCTGCCCCTAAGAAGGCCGCCGCCCCCAAGAAGGCTGCTGCACCCAAGAAGGCCGCCGCCAAGAAGGAGGAGAAGCCCGCTGCCCTGACCAAGACCAAGACCGGCCGTGTGTCCAAGACCACCAAGGCACCTGCTACCAAGAAGGCAGCGCCCAAGAAGGCCGCACCAAAGAAGGCAGCACCAAAGAAGGAGGCAGCCAAGGCTGAGGCATGAGTTCTCTGATTTGGCGTGCTTTTTCTGCTCTTTATTTGATGTGTATCTGGATTGGCGGTCTACTGGCGTTCAAGGGAAAGGGTATAACGTCGCGTCTGTGTATTCATCACGCGAATGGTTCTGGTCATGTTTTTGCTCGGGGGGAAGGAAAGGATGGAAGACTTGCTTACAAGGGAAGCCCGTGACGCGATTCCAAGGGATGCTGGGTCAAAAGCAGGTCGGCGGTCACGCGCGTACTTCTGGTGGCAAATAGATGCCGCCTCGCCTGTACAGTTCGGGTCGTGGCATCTACGTGCTGGCGGCGTGTGGGTAAGCAATCATTGACGATGTGATGAGACTACCTGTAATTATACCAATGGAAGGGTTTTGCACTGTTCAAACTTGCCGTTTTCCCTCTCGTGATGCAGAGAAGATTTGTGGAAAGTGAGTCGGCGGTGGAGCGTTGTCTCTGCCCGCCTGAAGTTGAATGACGATCTCCGATCAAAATCACCGACTCACGGATTGCATGGGCTGTGACGCGCAACGCGAGAAATTGTCTCTATTAGCGGCTGTGTTTACTTTGACCCCAATTAGGCAGGGGCACGGCATTCGCACAACTTTTGTTGATCACGATAAGGGGCATCACGTGCCGCCGATAGCTTGAGTGTGGAGACTTGGTTTCAACTGGAAGCAAGAGCTTCTAGGGTCCCGGAGACGACTATGGTAGCACCTGTGGCTAATCTCCTCTGGGCATGTAGCAACATCACCCCGTCAGAGCACACCAGCGCATGTTACAAGAGGAGGAAGGCATTGGAATAGCCACCTGAAGAATAGTATACGTGCGCGTACATACGTCGTTGTCGTCGCAGCAGACACCATCGCTGGGAAGAAGGCGTGGCGCGCAAGGCCATCTTTGTTTCATTGTGGGGATCGCAAATACTACATTTCGAAACCTGGCAAGTGTGGCGACCCAAGACATCCATGGATGCTGGATAGGTCTCAGGCCCTGCGTTTCGACTCTGCCTGGAGCCGTCGAGCTGCACTGGGACGTGGAACAACTGTAGAAAGATGACCATGGGCGTGGGCGAAAGCCCCCGTGCTGCCTGTGTATGCCGATAGAGGGCTTCTGAACTACCTATCGAGTTGAGACCCGACGATACCACCCAACTTAGCCTTCTCTGGCGATATGGAACCTGCCCACTATCGCTTTGAGTCGGCCAACCGACTTGGCCGAAGACCTGACTACATAGGTATTCTTTGGTGGGTATGGGTATGTGTGGGGATGGTAGTCAGTGATGGCAGCGCATTCGAGGACCGATCAGGTTGGGCTGGTGACCGGAGTTGCAACCATTACCGTTCGCGGACTATGACTTATCGGCACGTAGCTCAACCAAGGCTGCCAGGTGAGAGTGATACGTGAGCAGCCTCCCAGAGCCTCTTACCCCACAGTGAGGCATCATGACTAGGCCTCGTTACGTAGGTACGCAGCTCGCAAGCTGCCGTGGCTGACTAGCTTCAGCCATCGGCTCCCTTCTACCATAGTAAGTTAGCTAGCCCATGCTTGCGGGATTACATAGCTTTGAGTTCATGCATGGAGGGCTCCGTACCCATGCCCGCGGGTTTCCATTCCCAATGGGCCTCGAGCCTCCAGTTGCATAGCACAAAGGTCAAGCCATTGGACGTCACTATGTGCAGTAGGTTACTTGGATTACTTACTTACTTATCCGATAAGGAAAGGCAAGGCCATGCCTGCACTCGTGACATGATGCTGTAGATCGATCGCCTTGCCAACAAAACCACGCATCATCTGCTTGAGACAAACCGGTGACCAGACGTGAGTTGACTAGAATGCTGCCTGCCAGTGCTGTCACGTCAATTGCACAGCTGGGACAAGTGGGCTTCTGCACCCGGAAGCGGGAAGTTAGCCACATCGGTTATGGACCTTATTTACTCTGTGTGCACATACATGCACGTACACGCGGGCAGTTCTGCACCCAATACCTCAGCCCAAGCCCAAGCCCAAGCCCAAGCCGCCCTCCCCAATAACCCCGGCTCTTCCGATACTCACTGCATGCATGCATGTGTGCGTGCCCTGACTCCCTGGGACGCGGGTATCCCAACTGAGGCAACTAACTACTAACGGACTTATCGCATTGAGGGGGATCGTCGGCCGACCTCACTTCCGGGCTCGTCATCCCAAACTCCCTCCCAGGCAGGCACATCACATGTTCCACCCGCATCCTGCGATGGCCGAAATATAGCGAACCGGTTGCGTAGCTATAAATTACCGTCTTCCTCCCCTCCGCATCCTCCCACCATGTCGTCAGCCGACCCAGCCTTCGGGTCCAACAACCCCTTCCGCCGGAGACCTTCTGGCGACCCCTCGTCGCCGGCTCCTCCCACGACAACCACGAGCGGGTCCGCGCCCAATGCTGCCCCCGGCGCCAGCGCCAGCTCCGGCTCCAGCTCCAGTTCCAGCTTCCTCGATGCTGCCTCTGCTGCCCCCAAGTCATCCCTGCCGCCGCCCTCCACGACCTTCAGGGCAGCCCGGCTCGACGGCGATGACGACGAGCCAGGGAGAGACGACGGCCGCCTGCAGCCCCAGCCGAAGAAGATCGTGAAAAAGGTGCGCGTGCAGTCGCCGCCGCCGTCCTCGCCCGAGGACTCCACACCCGTCAGGAGCTACCCGCCCGACGGCTACAGCGACGACGAGAGCAGCAGCGACTCGGGAGACGACGGGGAGCAGGTCGACCCTTTCAATAGAGTGTCGCCAGCACCGGGCGAGAGTATCCTGGACGACGAACCGCCGTTGCCCCGGGTCCCTCCCAACCCGTTCTCCAAGACATTGCAGGACCTGGAACATAATCCCTCGGGCCAAGACGAACAAGCAGCGGCGGGAGCCAAGGCTTTGGATGTGGACTCGTTCAAGAGGCTCCTGCTGACGGGATACGCAAACATACCCGGCCCCCCGGGAGGGCAAGGAGGAGCAGGAGCAACAGGAAGCCCCGGGTCACTACACACGGCAGCGCAAGACGGGGCCAGCAACACAGATGCAAGCTCCGTATCCCGCCAGTCTATATTCGATGCTATCCAGGATACACCGCGTACGTCTCACGATATATCGGAGCCAGAAGAGACCGAAGAGCGCCGCACGGTCCTGCCCTCGTCACCCTTGGCCAATGTTCACACGACGTCCGGCCGGAAGCCTCCGCCCCCGCCGAGCTCCAGGCACGGGAAGCTGATCAAGATTGAACTTGGTGCGGATGGAAAAGCCGCCCATTCTACTCAGGAAGCCGTACAGTCCATCTCCATCGACACCTCTTTGCCTACTGCTCCGGGCCGCAAGCCTAGCGTACATTCACTGTCCTCCCGGCCTTCAAGTTCCGACATCAACAAACCACTCCCCATGCCTCCGTCCCGGACACCGGCCGAAGAAGATATTGACTCGCCATTCGATAAAGAAGCAGCTGGCAAGCTTCCCGAGCCCTTTGCCGAGCTGTCCGCGAATCCGCGTCCACCGACGCCTCCTGCCGGCACCACACGTGCCCGGAGCGAATCACAAACCAGTATACAGACTACTTCCAGCGCGCATCGTAAGCCGGCGGCACCTCCGCCACGTCGACCGGGACACAACCGGGTGGACAGCAAGCCACCCTCGATATACTCCAATGCGGCTGAAGAGGATCCTCCCCGAAGCTCACTGGAATCTAATCGTTCGCGTGCCGATAGTATCCGCGTCAATATCAGCTCGGACAAAAACCTGGCAGCTCCGGTGCCGCCACCTCCTAGGCGACCAAACCATGCCAGACAGGCGAGTTCATTTACGAGTCCTACCGGCACCAACTTCGCGGCCGTTTCAAGTCCAGGGATCGGTGATGAGAACAGGTCGCCAGCAGCCGTGGGACCCGTCAATTTGGACTACAAGAGTCTTGGATCTGCACCGACAGTTTCACATAGCAAGGACGGCTTACCAAAATTATCTCCTCCGCCCCCGCCCCCAGCACGACACTCTAGCACCAGAAGACCAGCCAGCCGCAATGGTGGGGAAGCAGGAACTCCAACAACACGGAAGGTCAGTCGGGACAAGGAAGGCGGGATAGCGCCGCCACCGCCGCCACCGAGGGCTAGGGGGAGCAGCAAGGGAAGCATGAGTGGTGGTGGGGAGGGGGGATCCGTGTCCGGTCGATACAGGGCAGCAAGCGAAGTCGAGAGGGTTGCAGAGGAGTCAGCAGTCCCAGAGGACGAGGGCCTCGAACCGGAACCCACCAACGACATAATGGAGCAGATCAAAGCGCTCCAGCAAGAGGTAGAAGCTGCTCGGAAAGCATCCGGCTAATATCTAGATAACCCGAAGTGAAGGAGTTTAATGATGACAACTGCTTGCTGGAACAGTATGGCTGTCAATAGTACCCAATAGACGGCCGCCTCAATTCGGACTGAGCATGAGCCTGGTGAAGGGCTTCACGTACATGGCAGCCAGACGATGGCGGATACATGGTGTGTACTTTTGAGGTTTGAATGACAGCAGAGAGGAATGCAGCCATACAGGGGGGTTCTGGGAAGGCGTCGCATTGTGTAAATGTATATAGCCGTAACTAATCAGCACCGATTACAAACAAGCACCGCAGACTTTTTCTACTCGTTGGTCATCGCTCTGAGTCGAAACTTGAGCCCAGATCACTACGTACAGTGTATGGTCATGTCTCCAAACATGAGGTTGAATACACTTCTGAATGGCACCACCATCCGCTGAGACTTGTACATGCAGTACGGGGCTTCATGGCGTCATTTCATGTATGCACGACCCAGCATCTGAGTGAGGTGAATTGCTAGGAGAGTATTGGAGCCAGTCAACTCAGATACATATGTCGGATCCCGCTCCAAGACATAGCAACACAGCCATCTGCCAGACTTTCTCCGCTGATCTCATGTCAGAAAACAGCTTGCGAGTGGGAATCAGGCCGCCGGAGGCGGGGCCCAGTTAGACCTCCATTGGAGAGATCATACTCCCGAATATCTGTGTAAGCCGCACCTAGCCAAAGATGACATGGTTTAACCGCGCCCGTCGATTGACCTCATTGACACAAATCTCGTCAGTACCCAATTGCATGATATTAAGCCGTTATGTTGTCAAATGCGATTTGAAATGCGCCTGCTGACAAATAGCTAAAGTTACCCCCTGGCGGAACTCCACGGCATAGTCACGCCCTGTTGCACACGTGATATTCGAAAGGGTTGGCGGATTAGTTGAAGTCTATTGGTGCGGCGAGTTGAGCTTTATTTCTAATCCGGATTTCGGGTCACCCAAAGTCTTACTCCAATCCCAAATCTTGTGATGAATTTACTGGCGCAAGATCACGGCGATAATGGCGTGCTTGCGGGGAATCGGCCTAACCTGCACGTTTGACTAATTGGAGGTCCTTGAGGATAACTGTATATAAGGGAACATATCGTCGTCATAGCAGTAACTATGCATGATCGGTACAGGCGTTCCAGCACCGAAAGGCACAACTCGCGAACCAGTCCAAGTATCTAGAGACAGAACGATAGTGTCTTCGAAGCATGGCTACAGCCGACGTCCAGCTCCCCGTCGCAGCGGCGACGACTTTCGCAAGCGTGAGCGAGGCATCCACCATCTCGCCCCATGATGTGGACGCGGTCCTCAACTACTATAAGCCGAACGAGGATGGGTCTCCTCCCGCCCCGACCTATGTAGATCGTCCGGAGACGTATGACCGGCCGGTCGCGCCGCACCCGACCCGGATCACGGACATCTCCGGCAAGGAGAGTGAGTTCACTCTGGACAAGAACGGCTTCCAGATCCACAGAAATGTGAGCTCGGAAAAGGATTTTCTTGATGATGCTGAAATCAAGGACGGGTACTATAAAGAGACGGAGCAGCTGTTGAAGGATGTGTAAGTCAGGGACCCTTGAGCGGACACAAGAACTCTGAGCAAGTCCAGCTCAATGCTGACTATATACATGCAACAGCACCGGAGCATCCAAGGTCTTCATCTTTGACCATACCATCCGCCGCGCCTCGGCCGACCCGCGAAATCCCGTCCAGCGCGGGCCGGTGCAGCGCGTGCACATCGACCAGACCTACGAGGCCGCCCTATCGCGGGTGCCGCACCACCTTCCGGAGGAGGCGGACGAGCTAGTTCGGGGCCGCGTGCAGATCATCAACGTGTGGCGGCCGATCCGGCGCGTGCTGCGGGACCCGCTGGCGCTGGCCGAGGCCGGCTCCGTCGCCGAGGAGGACCTCGTCCCCATCGCCCTCATCTACCCGAACCGCCGCGGCGAGACGTTCGCCGTACGCCACAGCCCGCGCCACCGCTGGTTCTTCAAGCACGGCCTCGGCCCCGACGAGGTCATCCTCATCAAGTGCTTCGACTCCAAGACCGACGGCCGCGCCCGCCGCGTTCCGCACACGGCCTTTGCCGACCCCTCGGCCGGCGACGACGTACCCGCCCGGGAGAGCATCGAGGTCCGGGCTTTGGTGTTCCATCCGGATGACCGGGATTGAGGTGTTGAGCGGTGCTGAGAGGGTCCAGTTTGTAAACCTTGTGTAAGAGAGGACATAGTCTATCACGAGATTGCAATATAGATCTTTGTGCGTTCCTGGAGGTTGGTATGTAACTTTTGGTTCAATCAACTTCATATATGATACGATGTGCTGTGGTCGAAACTCACCTAACTACTGGGCCAGTTACATGACCTGGGAGCATGCAACGCAAAGACTCCAAGAAGCCGTATAAACGGTGGAGAGACTGCGTGCCAGTGTCAATACTAGTGTCACTAAGAGAAGCTTGGTACAAGTTAGGGATCCCGACTATCTATCCGACTATCAACCAATGTGCAAATCAGCCAGCTAACGGGAGGACTGACTTTAGTCAAACTACCCCGAAGCTTTGTTTCTAAAACATAATGCTATTGTCACGTTGGTTAGTTAAAGCACTCTTTATCCTATCACCCAGATCTAGAATTTTCACAACGGGGTATACACGAATTTGAAGACAAAGAAAACGTTCGAGAGGAGGATAAAGGCGTTGTTCGTGGCCGTTCGCAGTCACGAATACAAATGGATCATAGGAGTCCCTAGCAAAAGTGAACAACAGGAATAACACCCCAACAGTTCTTAACAGCACACAAACTTCACTACTACTCAAAGCCACTTGTTACCCGACTTATCTCTCATAAATAGACGAGAAAGCTGAGCAAGCCTTAACCATGACAAGCTTTACCAAGACACTCATGACGGAGAACGGAAGCATCAAGGGGAAAATCAAATACTTGGTAGAGGATCCACCAATGAGCCGCCAACAGAGCGGAAGCTGTTCCTCGAGGGACATCGAGCGCGGTGCAGGTGATCACAGAGTTTCTAGCCGGTCAAGAAATTCATCTCCAGCGTCCGACTTCCACAGGACTGATCGACCCAGTCGTAGCTCGAATACATCTAGCAGATATGCTGTAGATGCGCGGACTGAGTCTCCGCCCCGGCGCGGTCGGCCGCAAATATCTTCTGGGGCATTATCAGAGTATATGGCGCACGCACAGGCTCCACCGAGGATGTCAAGATCGAGACAGAGGCCTGTCGACCCGTCGCCAAGTCGCGCTGGTCGAACTCCCGCAGAGGGGCCCGTGTCCGAGTCTCAATCCTCGAGAGGCCAAGGTACGTCGTCCACATCAATGGAGAGTATCCTGGACATACTCGAGAACATGCAGATGGACGAGTCAGAGGATGAAGACCCTATGCAGTATGCGGACAACGAGTCCTTCTTCCCGGAGCCCAAGGTCACTTTTATGATGGACAAACCGGACAACGTGATCTGCTCCATTTGTATGACTATACCCCTTCGCCTCGGACGGTCCTCCGGGCGACCCAGCGAGAATGATACAGTCGTGTTGGCGTGCGGGCATGTGTCATGTGCCGGCTGTATGGAATTGTGGCTCGATGCCAACGGCTCATGTCCGTTCTGCCGCGTCTCACACGAGTACAAAGCCTGCGGGCACCCTGTAAAGCCGCGTGTCATCGCCAAGGACACCATCATGTCGCTGCCCAAGACTATCCCCGAGGGTGGCAAGATCGGCAGCTGCTGTCCAGACTGCCGCGCTGATGACTCGGCCCGGAAGTTGCGGAGGCACGAACAAGCCATTCGAAAGTGGAGGCGGGTTGTTGCGCAAGCCAACACCAGCATTGAAGACTCCGCACTGCTGGCCCGGGCCCAGGAGGCTCTGGGCCACGCCAAGAGGGCCTTTGAGGACTTTCAGGCTTCGGAAGACTACCAAAATACCGTACGTGCGCGTACGCACTGGTAGGTAGTTCATTTCTTTTTTATGTACAGCTTATGCGATGGTGTCTACAGTGGGTTTTGTTTAACGCTTTTTGGTAGTATAGGAAAGTGGACGGTGAATTTAACTTTGATGTGACAGTTGAAACTGTCAGTGGGGCATGCGCTGCACTGCTTTCACTTATGATGGGGATTGACTATATTTACCTTTATACATAAAAAGGCCTGGTTCAACTGCGTGATATGGAAGTATTCGATATAGTTTTGATGCAGGCATTGGTCTGATACTGTGGCGAGAATTTCATTTGACTATATACAGCTTGGAGCCCTTGTTGAAAGGCTTTTTGAATCATATATTCCTTTCCACAACCAATGTTCCGATCAGCGCTGTGCTCGATGATCTTATAGTTTAACCGGTATAGGTGCACTGGACAGTTGAAGAGCCCGAGGTCGAACAATCAGTCAGAACTTTATTGTTCTGCTTGATGTCAAGGATAGTTGCACCACTAACCCCAACAGTTCCGCTACTGGTTGTGGCGGAAGCCCCTACATATAGTTAGCATGCTGCAATTCGAGTGGCGACAGTCACTGACCAGTGAACGTAACGGTGCCAAAGTCGGCGAAAGGAACAAGGGAATTCCCGGAGCTGAAGTCCTCAACTATCCACTCAGCGTTCGTCTCGCACAATGCAGCAGATTGTGACGAGAACGTGTGCGTGACGGTCTTGCCCGTAGACTTGTTAGCAACGGTGGCAGTGCCGGCCTTTGTCGAAGTAGCTGTCACGGTAATGGTGATAGTGTCCCCGGCACTGATGGTGATGCCAGAGAAGTCGTAGGCATAATCTGGGTACCATTCGTACCATGCATCGAACGACACTGAACTTCCCTGAGCATAGAAGTCCACACTGTAACATTGAACGTCAGTTAGTTCTGAGTTAGGCACTTTTGTAAAGTTTGTAGACTCTCCACTCAGATGTTCATTTATGAGATAGCCGAAAAGAGTAGCAAAATACTCCCAACGTGCTGCCGCTTACCCAGTCTGTAGAATAGCCGTCTGGCAGGTATCTCCATCGATTCCTACCCAGGCACTGGCCGCATACTCGGTTCTCGAGCTACCACCGGAGGGAACCGATGGAGTTGGGACTACGAACGTTGCGGTGACGGACTTATAGCCCGAGCCGATCAATACAGCACCGGCCCAGTTGGTGGAGTAATCGACATGGGCGGTCTCGTTGCCAGTCTCAAAGGTTTCGAGGACACCATCATCCGCCGCAATCTTTGGCAGACTTGTACGGGATAGAGCCCGCTTGGAAGCACGCTGGGCAGCGCGCTCACGCCGCTTCTCAGTAAATCGCGCACCAAGAGCAACCTCGGCGCAAAGGATCGCGCCAACAATGGAAGTGAGCTTCATGATGATGAGGGGAGATATTGAGTGTGAGAGGGGCCGGTTATAGCTATCTAAGGGTGATCCAGAGATTTACTGATGACTCTCTACATGAAGGGCGTTCAAGACAGGAACGCGGAATCGCGCGAGCGTCTTTATAGTCCTGTCAGTCCTGTAGTTCCTGGCCAGGACGATGGTAGCATGATCCAGACCGGCGCAGACTCGCCTCCTCCCCGCTGCTGCAGAATCCTCGACTATGGCCATTGGTGTGACCGGTTGCCCGATGAGAATCTACCAGAGGCTGGGCGCCAAGGACCTTCCTGATTGATGCCTTTGAGCCTGATCTATTGAACTATAGTGATGGATGTAAAGTACGTTTGCTATCGGCGCTAGCAATACGTTCTGCAACGTTTCTTGACTCCCCTGAAAATACGCAACTTGAGCGGGTGCAAGCGAAAACAAGTATCGCGCAAGGAAACCCGGGGCCCGCCGTCCTCACTTGAGGCTGACCAATAACGGATGTAACTCTGACTCTGCCTGATGGTGTATCAGATAATTGGTCACACGTCTAGGGTTCAAGGCAGGCAAGGATCTGCGAGTGCGAACAAGGGTTGACATCTGCTGCATTCGAGTGAAGGGCACGCCACAGCCGTTGAACGTCCGTGACCAATCAATCTGACGTGTCCAGCAGTTGGGGGTCTCACGAGATGGATCATACAACTTGCACGCCGACTTGGCAGCAGGGGAATGCATACGTCGAAGTTTTCGAACTTGAAGTGGGCGATAAAAGACCAGGGGTGGAGGACGTAATGGATATGCAGGTGTGTTGGCCAAGACATCTTATGACCGCTGCTGGTGAAGTGTGCCTCGAAGGCCAAGATAGCCAAGCACTTGACAGCACTAGCAGCCGTCGAAATAAGCTTTTAAGCTCCGTTCAGAGCCGGGCATGTCAGCAAGCACTGCATGCAAGCTGCCAAGTAGGAGCGAGTTGCGCCTGTCTGATCTGCAGTTCTTGCTATTGCAACTCTCATGGGATATCTTGTCATCATCTGATGCCTGGTATCACGTCGAGCATGGCGTGACAGGGTCATGTATTTCAGGTGATGGGTTCCGCTGATGCGATATCCCGGCAAAATCCTTGAATATATGACCAGCGATAGTAGAGGTACTTGCGGTCAAATCCCGCGGCTGGGTTAAATGCAAGAATCAGCAGCGGCAAATTGGTGGCACCATGTACCTGGAATTAAGATGCGTTGCTCAAGTGCTTGTGCCCTATCTTTGTGGTCTCGCTTATGCGCGACCGGCAAGTACTGCTACCCTACATTCTTATGGGCGGCTCTTCTTGACGGGACGATGTGGGCGGCGCTGGGGCCGGGATCCGCAGACGTGATCGTGGGGAAGTTTTAAGCCGAATGGGGAAGGTGTCCAGCACTCTTTTCGCCTGGAATAGACTTGATTGGTTTGATACCAAGCTGCCGGACTCTGTATTACCGAGAGGTCAGGAACTATGCTGGGGTTGCGATAACCAGTGCATTTCGAACCCAGACTGTAACTGAGTCAATCGCTTACAGACGTCAAGACCTGGCCATGGGCGACGAGAGAGTCCATGCATCGTCAAATGATCCACCAATAGATTGCGAATTTGTAAAAAGGCTTACGTTGCCAACCTTGAAGTGGTACGACGACTTAGTGTTTTTTTAAAGCCAAGTTGCCGAGGCGATGGTCATCGTGATACGACCTGACAGCTGACAATTGCCTCATGAAAGAGTTCTCAAGATAAGACCGGATTCAGCATGCCGAAGCCTCAGTACATACCTCGTCTACCACAGTGTCTGCAATAAGGGAGCAAGCCTCCTATTAACTTATAGCCAATTAGACAAGAGTACTGTGCACACCAATTTATAGAAGGGCCATATGTGCACGACAACCTCCTTCTGTGACACATGAGTCTCTGGTGGTGAACTTCCCTGAAAGCTGAGTGCCACCTTACATGTGTGTCTCAATATGACCACGATATTAATTCGCGGTCATCTGTTGGCTTTACCGAGATCTTAAGTTTGGACACAGCAGAGACGAAAGGATATTCACTAATTAGTGCTCTGCCGATCCATAACACCGAACCGACATCGAAGTCTGACACGGTGCAGCACTGCTTGGAAACTTTTGCTTGCCTTATTATCATCGTGGATCTGCATCCATTGAAGAGAAATGGATACGAAGAGCGCGCGAATTCGGGACAATATCTGATCCTTTAGAAAACGGTATCTCTAATGAGTGCTCTAGATACCTATCACGTTATGCTTAGTCATGTGGCATATCTGCTTAAGTTTACAGCACAATTATATTTCTTTACGATATCATCCCGTCCTCCGTGAGGCACACTGCCGACTTCTCCACGATAATGTCCCCATATGCCTACTGGAAGCTTTAACCGCAGGTTTTGGTCCATGATGAAGGATTTTGCCATTAAGTTCATTCAGCGGCCTGCGGTCTGACCAGAGAACGCCCAGGCAGAGAGGAGCCCCGAGCTCACGAAGCGGAAGATCGCCTTTCGAAGATTTCCTTCTTTCCATACAACATAGCTATCAATTAAGCCAGCATAAGCGCCGAATACCCCAAGGATAGTGTCCACCACCTCCAGTTGTCCACGAGAGTAGTAGTAGAACATCAAGATACCGAGGATGGAGGTACGGGCGCACCCGATGATCATGACGGGGGCAGCGGCTGGTGAGTCGGCGATCCGCGACGTGAACCCGAACTCGTGTAGTGAGCCTCGCGGGTCGAACAGCGGCCAGAGGCCGCCAAATGTCGTCGTAGTAGCTGCGAAAAGTGCAGGAATGTGGCGTAGTTGAAAATGCTCGAACATTGTGAAGAGGTGATGCTGTTACTAGAATCCGGCGGACCAATTCGAGTGAGATTATCCAGTGTTGATGCGAAATATCATTCCAGACCTGTACGAAACTAAATGATATAATGATCAACCAAGGTGTCAGGTTGTTTGCCACTTTCAGCCAGGTACTGAAGATAGGAGCGGATGTCAGCAAATGGTGAATATCGATCAGCCGCACCTTGAGTGGCTTGCACCATGACGTTTCCGGTCTGGCGCGACCCTCGTCTAATCCTCTGGGACGCCAAGCCTGCCAGGAGTTCGTACACATCGAGATCTGCGCGCCGGTTCCAACGCGAGGATTATCGCGCTATTGTTCAATTATGTACCTATAATCAAAACGGTGGCGGGTTAATCTGTCGTAATGCGTTTTTCCATTCTATACTTTGTATATAATTTACAACTTGCTGGAGAGTATATATTATAAGACTTGATGTATTGTTCCGTTCACACCTTATTGCAAAACACACGTTCGACAGATGCGCCTTGTTGTATGTAGTGTAGTATTGGACCTTTCATTGATATTGCAGCCCCAGGGTTTAAGACCTGGCGTGTACTAGAGACTGGTAACTAAGTGAACCTTCAATAAAAGTGCGTGTGAAATGGCCTGAAAAGATTCACGACCATACCCTTAAACGGGGTGCCATCGACCTCACGGGAGGGAAACAATCTGGTCAGCCAACATGGTAGAAGTGGAGCATCATTAGATCCTCAATGCTGACGCCAGCTTTGGCGAGAAATGATATGCGTCGTTATGCCAGGTAAATGCTGATTGGAGATTTTCCTTTTGGGTAATGCGGGCGTTGCAACATTGCTTAGCACGCACACGTCAGCACGGGGGCCACGAGCCATGATAGCATCCCGGTGTACGAGGCCTGCGGGCAGACTGACATACTAATTGATCGATAGTTACGAATTAGGTATATCTCAACGTGGCCATGCATATTTGATCTAAATCTGACTCAGCAATCGCTACTTAGTATGTCTAACCGGCGATGATCGAGAGTCACTGGCCCTCAAATCGACCACCCTCACCTATTGTATATTTGGGAATGCCGTTGTCACCCGCAGTAAGAAGATAAAGGCTCTTTGCACCACACGTCACGTTGATTCTATGATCGTGTTAGACAAGTCATCGAAGCTTACTATCGGCCCCAAAGTTCAATATGGAGCCACAGCCATTTGCCTACCCCTATGTACTGCTTGCCCTCACGAGTTACTATATGACAGAGGGCATTTTGAAGTTGGCAACACGGTATCTGAAGCCCGGGTTCTATCAAAATCTCCAGAATGAGAACCGGTTTCTTCCCTTCTTTGGCTTTGCTATGGGCTGGCTGATTACGTTGACTTCAACACCAATCTGTCTTTATGCGTTCATGACAGACAACGATGAAGGTTGGTGCTACATTGCAAAGCAACAATTTAGAGAAATCAAGCTAAAATTAGAGTCCAGAGCGTTTGTCAGTCTCTGGTCAAATATGCGTGGCTTCTCGCTCCATTCTGTGGATCTCCGAGCTTAACCGGCTCGAATATCTCTCGGCTTTCGTCAAGCACCATCTTGGCGCACTATCTCACCTCATATGGCACCTCCATGGCAGCGTTCCTATTAAACCATTATACTTGATCTATGCATCCCTGGCTACGGAGCTTTTCTCAACAGCTGCAGCCATGCTAACGATTGTTGGCTGGAAGTCAAGCAACTCGCTATTGGCACGCAGGCTGCAACAAATAAACACAATAGCAGTGCCATTGTGCAGGACACCTCCAGTTATATACACTGCCATCAATTATGTCGCGCTCTTGGGCCAGTGGAATCGTGTATTAGCGATCTTCTGGCTTGGGGGTTACCTGTGGAGCTTCCTCAGATCAACCCCACGAGAACTGAAACGACTCAATATGATACCTAAGCTACCAGCTGTGCTTCCAACTCGGAAGACGAACATAAACATTCCGAACCCCTTCGGAGCTTTCGTGTCCTTTGCATATTGGGCATTGATTTTTTCCACGTTGAAGATCTACGCCATGGTTGGGGAGCCAGGGGGTCGACAGGTTGCGGAACTCTTACTACAGACAGTTCTCGCCGGGTATATTGGCGCCCGTACCCCATACTTACTACAACGTGGTGGAAAGCTCCTGTCAAGTACTGGGTATTGGTTACAACCTGGCATAATGGCTGCGGCACTGGCAGCTCTGCTGACGCCCCTTTCCCGGTTAGATCTGGACCAGAGACTAAAGCTTATCTCAGCGGCCACAATTTCTATGCCATTGGCGGAAGCTATTGGTCGCATTGGATGCCATTTTGCAGGCTGTTGCGGCTCCCTACCTATCAAAAGCAAGACTGGAAAGCTTTTCAGGCCAGTCTCTGCACCTCTGCTTGGGAGCGCGTTTTGCCTTATTACTTATCTTCTTGTAATTGGTACTTGGGGTACAGGTTGTATTGGGTTTTATGAAGCTGCAGCCTCATCCTTGGCGCTACAAGGCGCAATACGTTTAATCGTTGAAAGATTTCGCCACGATACACCAAAACATTGCTCGAGCGGCCTGAAGCCTACCAGTGTCTTCGCAGCGACGCAGACAGCGATCGGAATTCTAGCAACACTCTGCGTCCGACAATATGCCCCCGAAGCTTCACGTGTGGAGTCCGTTCGGCTCAATATGCCAATTGAGCTGTCCATTCCCGCCGTTCTCGCTGGCCTCACTCAAGCTTGCTCCGGTACCGGGATGGAAGCTATAGAGACTATGACTATGTGGTTTCTGGAAATACCTTCCGTCATCCTCAGCTTTACACAAGCATGTTCGAGCAGTGGAATGGAAGCTGCAGATCACACATCAGTTTCAATTCTAGCAACTGATGGTTTTGTGCTGGGTGGCATAACATCGGCCTGTTCTTCTTCGGGGATGGAAGCTGCAGACGGGCTCTCCGTGAACAACTCACGTTCATCTACCAAGGTGATTGGCCCTACATTATCCTTCGTCAAATCCTGCAGCGGGAAAGAAGGCAGTATAGTAAGGGCCGAGCCGCTTCATCGGCGTCGATACACCAAGCATTAGCACCACCATGGAACAGACAATTTGATTCAACCACAGTGGCCTTCGTGCACCAAGTTTAAGTCTTCAAGAAAGAGAGATAAAACGCACCCTGAATACTCCAGCATCGCCTGTAAGGTCCTCTGGCGGTGGGTCGCTCAGGTTGCCATGGACCATCACAAGTGCCAGGGAAGGGGGTTGAAATCTGGTAGATGCAGGAACAATCACACGGTATTGCACTAATGGTCAAGTGTCACTCCACGGCATCGAAGTAAGCTCGCACGACTCAAAATACTTTTAGATGGGAATCGTCATGTCAAATCTTTGAAAAGTAACCTGGGAGCTCTAATATTTAATCTGGCTCGTGATGTATTACGTGGTTGCTTTTCTTGCATTGGGTAATATATCAATTCTCGCAAAGTAGACGATAAAGATAGAGCACTATATCTATTGGCTGCTTACCAGAGTTTTGCGGGCTTAGATACATTGAATTCCTACGCTAAGAATTCATACCCCGGCATACTGTGTGACTGACTGTTCTGAGATACTAGGTTGCGTGACCATAGACTGCCGTAGACGCTGAAGTTGCATCAAATCCGCAATGCTTCTTAGGCCATCCAATCAACATCCGACTGGCAAGTACCTAGAGCTCAATCTGAAACAATCAGCTGCAGATCTAAGCTTCAAATGTAAACGATGCGCTGCGCCACTGGCAGCCCTGTTGTGCTTTAGGCTTTGGGGGCGATGCTCTGCCCACTTCTCCACAGGTCTGTTACTCTCGCCCATTTTACATACCATGGCTCTTTCCTCTACCCTATGCCTCAATTCTCGTTGAACCAAAGCCCATGGATCTGAATAGTCAGGAGCAACAAACGCAAGGGGTATCAAGGAGGAATGTTGCCGACATCGATGCCGATGCACAAGCACCCCAAGTTGTGTATCAGGAGGACGGGTTTCTGCACCAGCCCGGACTCGAGGTTCTTGCAAACGACAGTGATGGAATTGAAGTGACACCCGGTGATGCACCAGAAGCTGTGGTCCATGATGCACCAGAAGTATTAGAGAAGCCAGCGATACCTCAATCATCATCATGGTTCGCAGAACACAGGACTTGGATGTTGGTAGGCCTCGTGGCTGCTACCGTGATCGGCGTCGGCATTGGTCTTGGAGCTGGACTGAGCAAATGGTCGAGAAGGTGCACAGTCAAATGTATCCACGTGAAACGCTCTGGCGCTGATATCTATGAGCAGTTCACCGTCATCGACTGTTACGAGTGGTTCTTCGGGCACAACTTCAGCAACCTTTGATGCCACACCTCTATCAACACTTCCTCCAGGTCTCACGCCTCTCCCGGAGGGTTCTTTTAGTCTGCCTCTCGTGGTAACGCGAGCCCCAGCCACCTGTTTCAGTGATAGCATGCAAGCTCAAGCCTGGAACTGCAACCAAATCTCTGCTCAGCAATCAATCAGCATCAACAAGCTTTCCAACGCCCCTGACACATCGCAATATTCCATTACCATCGGCTACAATGAATCATTGGCTGTCGATAGCTATGATTATGCTTACGGTTCTCAGCCACCGCGGGTCATCGATACTCGACTTCTCTTAGTGACCGACACGAATGAGCCTTCACGAGGTCCCGCCTGGGCAATCGAGATTTCCTACAATAAAAGTGTTATAGTACCGGAGAATCTGCTCTCAACTTCCTCCTCAGCCAACTCGAAATTAAAGAGAAAACGTTTGACTCATCTTTCACGCAGCTTGAATCGACGCTCTATAGCTCAGGAAGGTGATAAGCCGTGGTTTTGTTATTGGTCCGATACCATCCTCGAAGTTTTCATATATGCCAACCAGAATACCTCTGTGCCGAGTGTCAGCACCAAAAGCGTATCTCCGAGTGCGACAACAACTATATCCATCACGGCCACATCTTCCGAAACCATCGGCTTTTCGACGTCATTTCCAACTGACCTTGCAAAGTTTCCGCGAGTGCTTAAGATGGAAGATCGTCGTCCCTCAGAAACACTCTCGGTGCAGCCATATTGCCGCCAGTATCAGATAAGTTCCTCAGGACCTGCAACGCCGTTAAAAGATAGCGATAGCCAGTTTATCGATATAAAGATAGATGAGACTGAGTCAGATACAGGCAAGAGTGATATGAGTAACTGTGGATGTATGTGGTGGAGCACGTAAATAAGCAGCGCACTTAACTCTGGATAGCATTTATCTACAGAAAAGAGAATCGAGTCTAAGATGATATATATGGCAACTTTTAGCTGATTCTGTGCTACATATTACCATACAAGAGAGTTGATCATTGCACCAGGAAATCGAAACCAGCGCCGAACCTCGGGATTACGACACGACTTGTTATCGATCGCTCCATCATCTATTGAAGTTAATTCTCTTTCACAGCGGACCAGCGTATCGAGCCGTGGCGTGCCGCCCTGCCTGAAACTTCTGAGAACCCGCTGAGGGGGGAATCAAAAAGGAAAGAGATGAAAGCCGAAGACGGGAAATGCTAAAAGGAGCTTATTTAATACGTTACCCCACGCGAGGCCGATCACCTCGGCCTTGGAGAGGTACAAAGAGAAAGAGAAACACCAGTAGGGAAAAGGGATATGGACAATTCGTGACGTTGATGCTTTTGTGAGCTAGGACCAAGCGAGAGAGCATTATGCCAACGATCAAAAGTTCTGGGACTGAATTGAGAAGGTTCATAGGTTGTCAATGTAATGGCCGCAATTTTCGTTACATAGTGGCTCGCTACACACTGCATCACAAAATGTTCCAGCGGTCGTTGGTCTCGATAATTCCCTCAAAGCCGCCATGGCGACCCAGGGTCTTGATAGAAACACCGTTTAAGCCCACAACAAGTTGCCTCTACCTATTCACAATTTTGATTGTTACGTGCTCCAAAACAGTCAGACGGTCATGATTCGAACGCTTGAATCAGGGCTTGTAGTGTCATATTGCGACTTTGCATGTTCGCTATGCGCAAGCTTGAAAAGCCAATAAAACTCCTGGATTCCACGAATCTACTGACTGCTTTGGGCACGTAGACCAAGTCGAACCTGGAAATCGGATGGCTTCACAAACCACATATTGTGAGTATTAAATATGCCCTTACTGCTGTCTATGGGCTCCACGATTGCGAAATCGAAATCGCGCAGAATCCGTGGAACCAGTTTTGTGATTTCCAGCATTGATATGTGCCGGCCAATGCATGTTCTGGAGCCAAGCCCGAACTTGAAATCATGAACCATCAGTGTCTGGATTGCATCAAAGAAATCGGCATGACTTACTGGCATCCAATGGCGATTCATCAGCGAAAGTTGGTCAGAGTCCGCATCGAGCCACCTTTCAGGTCGAAAAGTTCCTGCGTCTGGCCCAAAAATGTGCGTGTTCCTGTGCTCTACCCAGCTGTTGATTCCTACCACGGTCTAGAATCGGTTTAGCCCAAGCGAACTTTTGCGTGAGCACAAGCTAATATGATATTCACTTACTCCTTCGGGAAAGAAACGTCCAGCTATCGTTGCACCACCTGGTGGCACAACTCTCTCGAGTGGTAGCCCTGTCGCTGGATGCATTCGCAAAGCCTCCTTAATGACTGCTTGGAGATAAGGCATGCTTTGGCTTTCCTTGAACGTGGGTTTCGTAGACAGCTTCCCGTCTTGAAAGGAAGAATCGACTTCCTTTCGCAACTTTTCCAAGCTGGCTGGATGGCTGAGTAGGTAGTACAGAATGGCAGTCAGACTGATGGCTGTCGTATCTGAACCCGCTACCATGTTGGCGGCACAACCCACCTGTATGTGGTACTGCGTGAATGAACCTGGCTCCGATGAATGCTTAGACTGGAATTTGGATAGAAAAGATTCTACCACTGTTTCTGACTGCTCGATTTCGACGTTGCTTGGCATGGACTTCGGAGCCGCCTTGAACGCAGCCATCTGCTCGAGGGTAAACTTCAAAACGTACTCCCGACCTTTGCCTCTCTCACCGCCAAGTAGTCGGTTCTGCACGAAGTGACATATGGGATGGAGCCACGGGAATATGCCCACCAACGTGGCGTAAGTCAGGTGGTTCTCAAGGGCAGATATCACACCCCCGATATCTTCTCCTTGGTCCAAGAAGCCTAACCGTCGAGAATATGTTATCAGACCAATCACGTCAAATGCGTAGTTCTGAAACCACCTTCCCATGTCGACAGATTGGCCCGCCTGAGATAACTCGCGCAATCGGTCGCTAAACAGATCGGTACATTCGTCCACATACGGCTCGTAGGATATTAAAGAGCTCATGCTGTAAGTGTTCTGGTACATTCTCCGATTTTGCGCATGGCGATGGACGTTCTGGTCTGCAAAAATCGTCCATCGACCTGGCGGCCCCCAGGTGCTATACCAGGAGGACTTTGCAAACTGGGCCCCCAGGCCGTAGATAGTCTTGGCTGCATGGGGATCATTGATACTGTATCGATTCGGGCCATAGCGGACGATTGGACCTGTGTGGGGTTTGTCAGTAACACAGCCAGGTTGATTGAGAAATGTCAGGTACCTTACCATATCTTTGGTGCAGTGCTAAGTTTGTTTTCTCAAAGTCCCCTCTACTCACAGACCAACAATACCAAATGTCAGAAAAACGAGCCAACCAAGGCCCAGGAACATGTCTTAAGGGGCTTGCAAACGCCCGAAATAACGACAGGAGGAATCCGAATATTCCGAGAAGGAGGAAACTACCGACAATGAAGCCCCCCATCTTGAATGTTGATAGTCGAGCTTTTCCGGAGTTATTTCGAGATCAAGCGCGGGGAAAGCGAGAACGGGCGTCATAAATCCGCAAGCACCTCCCACACGGCCCCCTCCACCCCACGCGCCTCCGAGTCTACCCCACCGGCCATGATCGGCGTGAGATGTTGTCGCTGGGTGCCAGGCTGCAGTCGTGAGCCTGGAACTTTCACCCAAGCAGCGATGGTAGCTTGTGTCCCAAAAACGTGAATCCCGTTTGCGGCAAGCAAGTCGATGTCGGAAGGGGTGATGAATAAAGCATAGATATCCTTGCTTGAGGACTGGACCACGCGGAGAGCCAAGCTTGGCACAGAGACCGCCCCTAGCAGTATGTGGCCCAGAATGAATTGTCCATAGTCAACTCCTGAACAAGTCAAATGGCAAGATTGACGCCATTACCTTGAAAAGCCGTCCCGTCGGCATGAAAGGCAGCAGTCAGTACTAGACATTGCCTAGGTCAGATTGCGAGGAACGCCTTCGTTGTAGTACATGCCTACAGGGCCTTGAGCTGGTCCGGATGCATGTGGCGTACTTGAAGGCTTGCGCGCGGGTCCGAGTTCATACGGGCACCCCAGATCTCTCCACGCGGGGCATGTACAGTAGCTACAAAGGGAGTTATGCACCCCACAGAACCGGCCCCACTCACTTGTATCAGAGCATGGTAGTCTCTATATTCACAGCTAGCAACAATATCCAGAGGTCATTGAACGCTTTCCAAAACGAACTTGTTGCAATAAAGACCAAGTCGGAAATAGCCTTCCGGAAAATGCACCCACGAGTGCACGAGCGCCTGACACTCCTAAAGCTGCCAAGCCCGAGACGCTTCCGGGCCTCGGTTATGGACTGGCTGGTGCAGGTGGTTACTATGGTGGGGTACGGGAAGTCAGGGGTGGTTCACCCCACCTATAAATAGCAAACGCTATAGTGTGGAGAGAGCTCTTCTTTCTGTTCCTCCCTAGCTTACAGTTCTTCACAATACTACAGGATTTGCAGCATGGTCTTAATTCACCTGTGGTGCTGTGCCTGGGAGGCGCTGGATTCAGAGGAGCTGAATAGACAGACCTCGAAGTAGATTGGCACGCAAAGACGCCCTTGATAACAATCGAGCTTCTTCACGCACTCGGCGCTGAGGTCGGCGACGCGGACTTCTGCTTGTGCCTTTACAAGCCTGAAGCATGCCATCTAGCGTAAGAGCATTTCCCTCGTCTTCGTCAGTCAGCCGTCGGCTTTTCAAGACGTTTATTATCGGTAGCTCTCGTAACCTGAAGTGCCTCGTACACAATTCTTATATGCAGTCTATTCTTGGTTGCAGTTGACCGTAATCAAGGCATTATTGGATGGCTGTAAGTGGTTGCGCTACCCACTAGAAAGTCGCTCCAAGATACTGTTCTTTTATACGGTCTATTCTATATATACATGCAAATATATATAATGAGGTAAAACTGGAACCAATGGTCCGCCTGCCAACGCTTTCCGCGTACGACCGTGAATAAACCGCTCGCCGTATATCAAAACCATCATATTGCTCTCGCAAAAACGCCCTGGCACTCATGTGCGAGCCGAACATTCTCGGGTTTCCAAGTTGGGTATAATTAAACGAATGTAGGTGACCAAGCTTCTGTTTCAGTTCCGCCTGAACGATTTGTCGGATCTTGTTTGAAAGTCAGCTGAACATTTCACGCTATTATACGATCATGATGTACCACATTGTTCTTCGAATCCATGAACACACATCTACCTCCTGGTCCCTAGACTTAGCGCATAAATAATGCTGGCCGCCCCCAAAATATACTGCCCGATTCCCGTCCCTCCTTGGACGTCATTCATGAGACCGCACCAAATACAGGTAATAAATGTCGTCATCAAGAGGCAAGCTACCATGATGACAGCCAGCAGCCCTAGATCCGTATCATTTTCGATATATATTCCCCATGCCACATTACTACTCCCATCTCTGAGCACTCGAAGTTCTTCCCTGAGCTTCTTGGGGAGTGCGGCGATAGAACTGCCGTTGGATGTATGATCGCCAGCCTTAAGAAAGCAGTGCATGAAGAACTTGGCCTGGTATGACCGGTCGCTAGAAGAGGCTAGGTCAAGAGCCGAGAAGCAGTAATTCCCATGCTTCAGCTCCTCCAATGGCGGCACAGAGTCAGGGTCGATAATACAGGCCGAAGTTCCCGATAGCTTCAACTGCCGCAATTGGAACTATTTATCTGTCAGCTTCACGTGCCATTCTCTCGTGAGGTGAGAACTGAACTTTAATAAACTTCAAAGTTCTTGCTCTAACAAAGCGTTCCTGGATCCAGTTCCTCCAACCGAAGTCATTCCGGTTCCGGATACGCTGGTAGGCTGTCCTGCACTCATCCCAAAGTTCACCGTCTTCCAACTTCGCTGTCAAATCAATGTGCTCCATCGCTTGAAGAGTTGATCCGCTGTCCGCACAAAACAGTAGATATCGGTTGACGTGCTCGCCGGGTGCACTGGATGTTCGGTTATCCAACTCAATAGCTTCTGGATCTGGAGGAGTCGACGAAGAGGAAATTGATCTCTCAATATCCTGGGAAGAGTTCGAGTTTGTTGTTGTATTCGAACCAAGAGATGACTGTGATGAGTATACTCTTATAGTCTCTCCATTTGTTGCACCGGCCATTTGATGTGCAAACTTCAGAGCTGCATTCAACTTCTCGGCTTGTACATCTATACTCATAGAATCCCCGCATAGCTATTTCCACACAAAGTAGGTTAGCCTATGTGATTTCTGCTACGAATTTTTGCCAAGGACGGTCCTGAAACTATCTCCACAGAATAAGAAAGGCCTTAGTTAGGCGCTTGTAAGATAATCACCAGAAGGGTTGTAAGAGGAATTGTTCACTCACGCATTTCCAAGACACGCGAGAATGCCCTTCGGGAATAGGTGAGCGCAATATGGAAGTGACCAAGTTCAAGCTCGTCTGCATCCAATAAGCAAGTCTCTCAAGAGCCGGAAAGGGGCTCTCTTGTTCTGCAGTTGAAGTCGGCGTTAACTCTGTCGTTGGATCTTGAGATACATCGCAGGACTCGGGCTCATTCAGGGATACCCTCGAAACTGGCCCCGATCTTAGAGCTAGATTCATCAGCTCAAGTTTCCCATGTTCAAGATCTCCCTTGGGTGTTCCCTGCTTGCTACGATAAGCAGTTGATTCCACATAAATACTGCTTACCCACTCCTCAACATAATCGCCACCCTGCTCAAATAGTGACTGAAACTCACTACGTGGGGCTCCCTGAACCCCCTTCTCCTCCTGATCTTCCCGTTTAACCTCCTCTTCTATCCTGGCTGTAGCTTTGTATGGGACGTTCAGCCATGTTCTTAACTCTGCGCGTAGCTTGGCAAAGGCGTCCGAACAGCGTACAAACACACGTAATACCTCAACCTCACGACTGTCATTCGGACTTGAGCTCGAGGAATCCGTGGATTCGGTATCTTCGTTTTGCTCATCCGTATGCCTACTCTCAGGGAACTTGTCCAGATAACTCGGGTCCTGAATGAGATGCTGGCTTATGGACGTCGAAGTAGCTGTGATTCGAGTAGCTATTTTCTTTGCATTTGCGCGAACAAACCTCGCCGTCTGATTTTGATTCTCCGTGGTAGATTCGTTTCTCAGTCCCTCACCAAGCTGTAAAATAAGCCATGCCAGTCTGCGCCGAAAAACGTCTGTCTCAACGTGCGACCTTGCATACGCAAAAAGACCTTCTAGTTCCTCGTCGCGAGAGATAATGATATACAATTCTTCGAATGCACTCGACATGACAGAGCTATCGGCGGTGCTTGTAGTAAGTGCTGCTGACAGAATACTGTCGACATCGCTGTAGCATGAGTCCAAATCATCAGGGGGGTTGTAGGGCGTTCGTGACGACGGCGATATTTCGTCGGCTTCCTCGATGTCATATAAAAATGGACCGGAACTAGAGCGCGAGAACGGAGGAGGTTGGTTTACTTTAATACTGATCGAGGATTCTCGATCAGGATAGCCTCCGTCTCGCACGTAACGTGTGTCTTCGGAGTGAAGGTGCGCATTTTCCTTACGTAGCTTTTCCATCTCCAGTTTGAGCCACTCCTGTTCTTTGAAAATATCCGCAAGCTGTTCTTGCAACAGCGCGATATGTTGTTGTTGACGCTGGCGTTCCTCAATGGCTAATGGGCTGTTAGGGCTAAACTATACTTTAAACATCTCAAGCTTGGTTATGTAGCTTACCACATGTGAGGATTTCCCACTTGGAACGCTTCTCAGCCGTTTGAGGTATACTGTCATTCAACTGATCGAAGAGTTCTTTCATTTCCGTACGACGTTTGCGCTCAGCAAGTTTTTGATTAACTCTAAGTTCAGGTGATTTGCTAAGGGGCTGAAACATCAAAGAAGAGCCCGGGAGTTCGTCTTGAATGCTGTTTGAGTCTTTGTATTGGTATGTAGAGGACCGCGCTTGGCCCGTTGCTGGCGCAAACGCCGTTGCCATGGCCTGGGGTGGCAACCGAGGCATATCTGGCATAGTACGGGACAATCCCGTGGATTCCTCGGAATTTCGATACGCCCGATGGCTTTCGTAGGCTTTGTGTACTGGGAATGGTTTGATGCCACCATCCTGTTTCCAAGCGCGGGTCGGGTCTGCTAAAACTGGTTTCATGCTCAAGATGGACGCCCCAGAGCTGTCTATGTGTAGAGTAAGCGAGAAGTCACGGGTAAGAATTATTGATACTTGCATTTGCTCGAGACATCCGTTCCGGAAAAATAAGCTGAATCATACTTTTCCTCTCGATCTGAAGACCGACCCTTGCCTGCGGGAAATCCATGGGACCCAGGCCGTTCCTGGTTTTCTTCCTCTGCAAGTGGCCCTGGCCGACCTATAGCCACCATTGGTGACTGGGTTTGTTTCATGGCTCACTAAACCTCTCAAAGGGCGTCGAAGGTGCATAGTTGAGCAGTAGCACTAAGACTGCTGTATCTGAAGTTTCAACAACATCTAGGGGTAGCTTCGATGGTGGTACTGCATCTCCAGATGGGTACATAGAATAGTGCAGGAAGCAATCTTCCAACCCTGGAAAATGCTCTCTTGGATCCAAAATATGCCTAGGGCGTTTATTGACGTGGAGTACAGTGATGTAGGGGGGTTGCAACCAATCGGAACTCGCAATTATATCGTACATGCAGCTCAGCTGAAGGCTGTGCAGCTGTGCGGCACACACCGCCTCTTCAAATTGTAGTGCCTACGGCCTTATACATTCCACAGGCATCGCTTTAGATGTGGTGTCTATTGTAACATCATGTAGCATATCGGGATTTTAAATTCGGTTAACATATTGTGCAGATGGTAATGTCTTGTTATCATCGATACCAGTGACAGATTGACAGGGCGCTCGCCCGTGTCTCGGTGCCGGCATTTTCTCGCCTTGTAGCTGAGGGATATTCCTCTGCCCGACAAGCCGTCATTGAGCACTGAGCATCGCTACACATTCTTCTTTTCCCCACCTCGACTCGCAAGAGGCCCGTGTCCATATTTTTGTTTCCTGGTCTCCCTTTAAGTCTTTATCGTACCTAATAATGAAGGTTTCCCCATTTCGACTGACCGTGACCGATGTGATGCCAAAACCGTCAAAGCCAGGGAGTTCGCTGGCATTGGCGCAATACTGGAATTGAGGTTGTATCTGAATAATCAGCTTCTTTTGTTCTTCATGTTCCCGCTCTTTCTGATCAGTGATTTGTCCTTGCGGGTATTGCCCTCGCTGTTTTTGATTTTATTCTTCGAAGGCCGTTCTCTTTCAATAGTTGTTCTCCTCCCTTTGACCATCGTCCCTAGCCTGACTGCTGCTAGCTGGGACTGTGTTGGCATCTGTATTCTGAGCATTATTGCTCGTATCCTAGTCGTCTTGATCCTGCGGGGCTTTGGCTTCCTCCCCTTGAGCGGCATTCCCTTTCCGAGCCTGTGCTGCTTGTTGTGCCTTGGCCTCTCGAGCCTTAGCCGCCGCAGCCTTCTGTTTTTAAGACGCCATGGGCGAGTCTGAGTTGATTGGCAGGCTATGCCAAAAGAAGAGTGTTTGAGCTTGAGTGAGCTTGAGGGCTTGAGCTATTTCATCTTATCTTTAATTCGACATTAAAAATCGATTAGAAGAGTTTTATATAAGTCATTATGAAATGTGCGTTAAGTACTATATTTTTAAATCTTTTCAATAAATAAACCTTAAAAGGTGTGTGAATCAACCCGAGTACTAGAAAGCCTTGTAACAGGGTACCCTTATGGCCTTACGATCTCACTCGTCACGAAGACACAATCCACAATGCGCGCAAACAGAAAAGGCGCCGCAACATGAGCACCGAGGAAAAGACTTTCAACCGCGAGGATGCACTCTTCTAGCGCTACAGTGTGTGCCATCCGCACGTTGACTTCTCCAGCAAACACTGACACGAAGCTATCCATCAATCACATAACGACTGAATGCTTTTTAAATCAGTCTTCAGCGTCACAGGTGGACAAAGCTCACTCATCACTGTTTCCCGACCAAACAGGACCCTCCACATCCCGACATCTTGCATATGAATGTTGACTGCCAGTTACAAAGTCATGCAAAGTTGAGATTCCGGGTGCTGAAAACGGAGGCGTATATAATCAATACCGGGGATCGAAGTAGAATATAACTTGGACTATGAATTTTATCATTAAACTTATCGAGGCTTTGAAGTATACAATAACATTTCACAGCTTGCTGATATTGCGATTGACGTGCCCTGCGAGGCGGTCAGCAACATGGAAAGGACGGGGTAGGGTGTGTCTAGTGTCTCTAAGTCGGCATTTGTCGTCTGTGAGCGAGACTCTCTCAATGCAAGGCAGTATCGACCGTCCGTTGCAATTTGGAACATCCCTCGAGGCAGCCTCCCCACAAAGACACCTGCGCCGTGTGTGATTTAGCCTCAGGACTGTCTGCGGTAGTACGGACTGCGGATGAAACGGGGGCGGGTATCCTAAGAGGAGCACTGCGATGGTGCCTTTTGTGCTTGTCTAGATTGGGATGGGGTACGCGAAGGCTGAAATAAACGATGCCCCAGGTAAGAAGCATCCCGGTACTTACCTGGGTACTTAACTGGGATGTAACTGTGACCAATGGTATCGGTATCCTCGTAATTGCCATCACAGCCAAAATAGAACAGGTACACTGGACCGGCGATGCTTCGCCTTTCATTCGTGCACCATGACTTGGTCAATCCACTTGCTTGTAGGATACAATATACTGGAGTGCGTGTTTTTTGAGAATGGAGTCGTCGTATTATTCCAGAAGGATGGGGAGCTTGTCTCGCATGCGCCCATCTGAATAGATGAAGCCCTCGACCATTTCCCTAGTGTGCTGAACACATATCCTCGGAACAGTATCCTCGGAGCGCCTGATCTTGCCAGAGAGCTGGATGAACAGAAAACCCGAGCTAACCAGCCATGTCCGAGATGGGAATAGCTCTGAAATGTTGCAGTGTCTTCTAGGACAAGAAAATCGTTCCCTAGATCCACCGAAATTATACCAGCTAAGAAGAAGGCAGCCAAGGTGCATAAACTTGGTCTGTAGCCTGTCATACCAGGACGCGATCGTATCAAACTGCAGAGGTCGGATGTCGTGATGTTTGCCTTGTTACGCTAAGATAGTTCACAGCCAGGATCAGGAAAGTGTAGATCACAAACCGGTTATTTGGCCGTGTTGGTGCGTCAGTGGCTAGAACGCCACTGTCCCGACGCTGCTCAACTCTGACTGGGCAGACAACAGTGCGCTCCTGAACAGCACACGCCGTTATACGTAGACCTCGCAACCACCATCTCCGGTAATTGTAAGAGAAAGTGCATTGGCCCATATTCTAGCAGTATGAAACCATACTTCCACGGCAGATTCCCACACGAAGATGGTGGAAATCCAGACCGTACAGCATCTTAAGGTTTAGGTTTGACGGGGTTCATGATAGACTACTTACAAACTCATTTGTGTCGTTAAATATCAGCAATGGCACCTATAACCAAGCTTCTACAGGCCGTATCGACCGATCAAACCCTTGTCCGCAGTTTGTCATACCCACCTCCATATCCCTCCTGATATGGGCCAAGTCTGAAATTATTTCTAGGTATTGACTTAATATAACGGTGTCTGTTTCTCCTTCTGTACGCCAACATATGCAAACAGCCAGTCCATACACAGAAAGCCACTGCCTTCGCAACTTCCCAAGCTGCTGACATGTCGGAGCCATGATTATGTCCGACTGAATCATCATATATGATGGGTGCCGAATACTTCCACTAGCCCGCAACAGAACAAGCAGGCGTCGACGACCATCGGCATGACTGACAGCAGTAGCCGGACAATGTCCGTCACCAAAAAGTTCAGCGCCAGAATAATGGTCAGGGTAACCATGAAGACGTTCCGATAGTAGATGTCTTTCCATCTTGGTTGTCGGAACAGGTCCACCACCGATGCCCAGTAGAAGATTGCGAGTATGAGAGTTGCGACGAAAGAAGCCTCATCTCGATTTAGTTGAATGTATGGTAAAAGTTGAGAAATTCTCGTCAACAATGTGAACTTTGATAAGCTCTCTGTCCTTGTCTTTGAAAGGCTTATCAGCGCCACTGCATCGGCAAAACATGTGCTGGTAACTTGCCTCGAATGTTTGTATAATCACAACCCACGTACTAAAGAGCAATGCCCACAAAAGCCGGTGGCCCGCTTCGCTTCTGGACATGCGTACGCATCGGGACAGACGATTGCTGAGGGCGAGCAGGACTACGTGACAGTATGAAAGTGAAGGCGGCGGCGGCCGTGCTCCCCCGCCGACCAAAGCAGAAGCGATTTTGTTCCACTTCAGTCCTGCCTGACTGCTGTCTTGTTGCTCGGGTTTCGCCAAATGTGACTGTCGGCCATCAAGGGTTTCGTTACGCATCACCTCAAGGTGAGAGACGGTCTCTACGTACCCTCGCCGGTTCGGACCGGAGGGGAAGAGACTATGTTGAGTCGCAGTTTTGACAACCCACGGAAATTGAAGGTCAATGGTTCTTTTGAAGGAAAGAACAGCCCATACTGATAACAAATTTGACAAGGTGGAAAAACAGGATGAGAGGGGAAACCAGTCAGCCGCAACCAATGGGGCATAGTACGGTCTGTGGTGCGCACACTAGGCGCCCTCAGCTCTTATGCAGCCATGTGTCTGAGACTTTTTATGGCGCTGATATCTCGATAGCAGCCCGTGAGAAGTCTCCTTGTAGGATCTGTCAACAAACTACCATGGTACCTAGGTACGTACTCAGCCATGCACTCCGCCTCCGGATGAACTCACGCCCGTGCATGCCACTTACCTCTTCCAGTTTTCTTCCCGTTTCTAAGTTTCTTTAAATGAGACTGGCCTGCTGTTAGATAAAAACACCCGAGCTCGTAACGCTGCACATCCCTCACCTCCCTCACTTCTTTCTTTGGCCCTCAGCCCTCCATCACTGCATCTTGAGTTGAGTCCTAGTCTCTTTACTTCTTTTACTGTCTGCTTCATTCCTACATCTGCATGAAGGCGTATCTTCCATTGCTTGGTGCACTGCAAAGTTACCTTGATTCGCAGCGCCGTGAGACCAACGCTGTGAGCTGTACTTCTAGCCTCCCCCGCACACATGGAAAT